CAGTTTAGAATCGATCGAGGAATATAGCACAATAATTCAATTTATACGATATACATTATTATTTCAAATGACTTTTAAACTTACTCCTGCCACCTACAGTTCTGCATCAACCGAAGGTTATTTCAAAGAATATGCTTATGGCATTAAAGCCGCTCTGGAATGTTTTAAGTATAAATACATACAAATAAATTGACTGCACGGATGTAGTTTAAACGGTCACCTCACCGCTTCCTCCTGTTCTGTGTTGTAGGTTCGATCCTCACACGGTACAACACTTTTTGTGATCCACAAATTGTTGTTTTGAGTCTTGATGTTCTTTGTGTCTGTTTCATGTACCTACGTAAAGTGCCCCGCGGCATAGGATAATAATTTTAATATATCTATTCCTAGTGATGGAGTTGTCATTTTTTTTTAAAGCTTTAATATTAAAACAGTATTACAAATCCTTCTACAAGATACTTCACTACTTGAACGGAGTGAGAGAATCTTCTTCGTTTGCCCTATGTCCCATCTGAAACAATTCACTCGCAAAAAGAAGGGTTGGCATTAGTCAGCTGGTTGAACTGAATAACCAACTAAAACCCTTTACAATATTTGGAAAAAATAGAAATGGGAGAGTAAGACGATGATGACTTAAATCTATACAAATAAATAAAATTGAAGTGTCTGTTTGTAATGTCAAAATATTAGACTTTTTTAATGCTCAGTCGGTTATTTGCACGATACCTATGCCTTTTTTTTCTGTGCGGAAATCCCCTCGGATACCACCCACCGGTGGCTATGTCGGACTCGCACCGACTAAAAACCGCACGCAGTCTCGGGTACCAGTAGCCGGGTAACCTGGTGTAGCCTAGAAAGAAAATCACTAGCACCCCGACGTACCTCGGGCCATTTACGCGGGGTAGATGACCCCCTCCTGTGGTGGGAACCCCCATTTTCCCGTTGTGTTCCCGAAAGGGCACGCGCGCTTCGCAGTGCGTCTGGCCGCCCCGGCTTGCTTCTGCCAGGGTGACAGGGTGGCCTCACCTGTCACCCCCAGGCCTGTGCTTATAGAGGACGGAGGACGTTCTGCAACCTGCGGCGCCACGATACCTATGCCTAGAAAACCAATTTAAATATTTTTTGTCTGTCGGTCTTTCTGTTTGTTTCGGGTAAGTTTCTAAACGGCTGGACCGATTTTGATAATATTTTACTATCAGGTAGCTGTGTATATAAGGAGTACCTTAGGCTATTTTTACTCTCAGAAAAATCCTATAAAAGTTTGCTCGGTCCGGGAATCGCTACGAGCGCTTTTTAAATTCCACGCGAACGAAGTCGCGGGTACCAGCTAGTTTTAAATATAACTATTGGTTTTGAGTAGCGGTAAATGTCATATTCTGTAAATAAATGCTGACAAAGCAATGAGCATGTTCATCTAAAATTAATTCAATTGGCGCGAAGTTGAATTGTTGCCTCGTCTTCATCTGTCTTGTGTAGCTGCTGATTATTTAATTCTTACATATTATAAAATGAAGTCCCCTGGCAGCGTCTGTCTGTCTGTATGAATATATGTCTATTTGCCTTAAATTCCAAAACTACCGAACGGATTTTTGTACGGTTTTCACCAAGAGAATGTGTAACCAATAGAAGTATGATTCCTGAGGAAGGTTTAGGTGTATAATTCATCATGCTATATGAACTGGGCGAAAAAAGGATCACGATTACGGAAATCCACGCGCTCACCAGCTTAGATGCGCGCGTGAGCGGGCGGAACCAAGTCTCAAATATAATTACTGATTATCTAATCTAATATAATATGTTCCAATGGTAATTACAAAAGCCATTTTATAACCACAATATAAATAAGGATAATTTTATAAAACAGTCGATAGAGAAACTGAGGCCTGCGTGTGATTTATGTCACATCAACTCGCTCTCGACAGAGAGAGCGTTCGGCGTTGCGATTTGTGGAGATTTCAGTACGGACCAATCGCAGCGCCGAACGCGTTCACCGTTACGATCGAGTAGAAGAGAGTAGTAGAGATAAACAGTTTTAAACTCACACTTGGTCCTCTGATTCCAAAATCTTTCAACACCTTGACTAGTTAATTGTTATAGATAACACTAGCTATCATTCTGTATAAATTGATTACCACATGTACAAGCTAATGGTATCTCTGATACTTAGATTATTTATTTGATGCTCTGATATTAAAAGTATGGCTAATGGAAATATAAGAAGTAGGTATCGAAATTGCATGGTCATGAAGTTTTAAGGTTATCATTGTCCATTACACCTGATGGAGATGTTTTAGGGTTGTAGTTTGGAGTGTAGAGGCAAGGAGAACCATCTCATATGAGGGAAAAGTTGAAAAAGTGTCCAGCTGTAACTGGATACTTTTTCAACTTTCCCCCTTAAAGTACTTACTGAAAACAGAGTTAAGCATCACCTGACTGATGCTTAACTCCTCAGAAACTTTTACCTCTTCTGCAGGTCTTAATGAGCAGGTTATAGATAAATGATGATCCAGGTGTCAGTAGGTATAGTAGGTATACGAGCTGGGACCGTCTCACGGTCTCATGACGGAGCAGGATAAAAGAAGAAGACATCGACCCTCATGGCTCGCTTACAATGCAAAGCTTACAAGAACAAGAAGAAGAACAAGAATTTGAAACTTACGAATAAGACGAATAAACTTCAACACTTCTTTTTCATTTACATCGCTTTTATCTTTCCCAATCTTTGAAAATTTCCGTTATTTTGCAATAGTTTTACATTAAACAGGAGCACAACTGACCCGTGGAGTAGGCCTACTGTTGAAACCACGTTAAAAAAAACGCGCTAAGTACGCTACCTCATAGGTGGAGTGGAAACGTGTGCATATTATGACGATAACAACTTTTATAACTTTTTGAATCGTTATATCTCAGAAACGGTGGCTCGTAAGAAAAAAAGTATTGATACTTTTTTTATAGATAATTTTATGATCTACAATTTTTGTCTGAGGTACTTTTATGATAAAACTTACAGTTTTGCTGAAAATCGCGAAAAACTCATTTTTTTTACCTTTGACCTTGAATTAATTTTTTTCCTTACAGGGGAATGATGGGGAACTTCTAGACATTGTTTATAATTATGTTTTGAACAACTTCACAGAAATTCAGCTTGTTGGGAATTTATGTAACTTCACTCTCATTTTTTGGTCTAAATTGACCGGACTATAAGCACGTGTAGAAGAATTGCAAAAATATTGTCAACGTAAAACGAAACGTCAACAAAAAGCCTGACTTGAATGTCAGTGGGGGAAAACTATTGATACATTTTTATCATATTCTTCATCTGAAAAACAACAATCGACTTTTGAATGATTTAAAGTGGAGTTTATTTTGCCACAACCGCATTCTCTTATGGAACTCTTGAGCGGGAAGAAAAGTAGTCTTTGTTCTTATTTGTACATTACGTCAGACAATGGTGAACATTCTAAACTTTATTAGAACCTGTTTACTGGTTTTACCTTGAAAAGGTATTTAAAGAGTTACTACAACATTTATAATATTAATAACCTTCTTCTTCTTCTCAGCCTATGCTTGTCCACTGCTGGACATAGGCCTCTCCCAATGATTTCCAATGATTTCATTTGATTTTTTCTAACCTAATAATAATAAAAAAAAATTATAACATATCCATTCCATTGTATAATGTAATGTAATTTTAACACTAACTTGCACTAACCATTGATATATTTAACTCAATGGCACTAACAAGTTCTACAAAACCTAATAAATCCGTTGGAATGGAACCATTCAAAAACCGAATGCAATTTGTTGTCATGTCAAAAGTGTAAAACCGAGCATCTTTTTGCTTACCAGTATAGAAACATGTGGGTTCATGATTTGAGTCATTCAAGTAGTTTTTTAACGATATTTTGTAAAAAAAGTTTTGAAAGAAGGGGCGGAGGAGTGGGGCGGAGGAGTGGGCGGAGGAGTGGGGCGGAGTTTGAGGAGTAGACGGGTCACCTGATGGAAAGTGAATACCGCCGCCTATGAACGCCTGCAACTCAAAAAGTGTCTTAAAAAGCGCACGGTGGTGGTGCGCCAATTATCAAAGTGATGAGGATGAAAATTTGAAATGATTTTGCTTCTTTAGTAGACTAACAACGTGTTGTTACCATAGATATACAGTAACTGTTAGTAATAATACTCGTAGGTAAATAATCTGCGGGATATTTAGGAGTCATTGATCTTTGCCTCATAAATTAGAGAGAAGGAAAAATTATAGTAAGGCGATTTCATTGAAATTAATTTTATTTTACACTTACTAAAAAAAAGCTATGTCAGAATTTCCGTGCAACACGATAGTAATATTAAGTAGTTTTTTCTTTTTGTACAAACCTAATCTAAATGTCTAATTCTAGGAAAGAGTAAAAGTACTAAGCCAATTTTTTTTTTTTAAATTTAGTAAATCAGGTAAGAGCCATCTAAAACTATAAATACTTTCATTACTTTCAAATATATTGAAATGAAAAAAAAGTTAATAAAAGTTTGTGGCATTTAGTAAGTCGACTAATTAATACTTGACCTTAAATAGTCGAATCTCTTTTTTCACTAGAACGCATCTCTATTAACACAAACAACATGGCGGAATTTTGATCAGTTGTTATGTTTCGCATAATTTCCGTTTTAATACTCCCATAGTTTATAAATTCCTTGATATACTATATCAATAAGAGAATTTACTTAATCTATTCCAAATTAGTAAACGCATTTCTAGGATAACCATGTACGTAGTCCTGTGATAAAGTTAGGTAAGTGTAGTTTCTGAGAAATATTAACGGATAATTTCATTAAATCGTTAAATTGAAGAGCACGTTGAACTTTATTGAATTAAAGTACGACTTAACGTAAACTTTATCTTGATTTCTAGTTCTAGCAACACATCATCGGGTGTTACTGTGTACCAACCCACTTCCAAAAGAAAGTCATTGAGCTAAATAGATTGCGGTAATCTGAATGCATTCGTAATGCCGCGGCGCGGTACAGAGATAGTGCAGCTGCCCTTGCCTCCTAAAAAGAAAACAAAGACCGTGGAGGAGGCCCCGAGTCTAGATGCTAGTTTTTGTGACGATGAGGCTTTGCCCCCTGGAATTGTATTCACCGATGTGTTACAGAAGAAATGGCGCATAGGAAAACCTATAGGTAAGTTTCAATAATCAATGAAAATTACTATTTATTAAAAATATTGAGTATTATATTATTATTAGATTTTAAAGGTATGATATCAAGTAATCTGAGATGCATTATGATACACTCATAACTTTATCAAATTTGTAAATCTTAAAATACTGAGAGAATGTGTACTAAGCGCCGAATTGAAGATCCATTAAGGTCATAGAATGTATGTACTGTTGACTAATCTGATTGACTAAGCATTGTGTTAAATTAATAATGCTTCTAATCAGCAGTTTATTTTATGCTTGCAAATTGGATCATAATATACAGATTATGATTATTGAAATGTTATAAAAAGAACTAGTGATATTTTACTAATACACCACAACATTCTCAAAAACATAAATACCTACTTTATGCAGGATCCTAGGGCCTTCAATGGCATAAAAGAAATCAGTGAAATATCTTAAAAAAGCTTGTATTTTTTTCATAACTCCTAAATGCTTGAGCAGATTTGGATGGATGAGATATTGTTAGAATCCTTACATCGTCCTGAGTCAAACTAGCTATGTTTATGCCATGCATTAGTCAATTTAGAAATAATATATAGAACTATTCAAAAGAAATGTTGTTTTTTTGGTAATTAAGGAAGAAAGCAAACCTTATATGGTTTGATAACTTTAGGCTACAATAAATAGTCCACATCACAGATTTCCATGACAGTGACCTCAAATATCCATCATGGATCATTCCTTTTAAGAGCCCTAATGTGTCTTGTTGGATGCATTTTGGTCCCAAATATCCAACTGCATGTATGACAGTGGTGTTAATTATGTTCTTCGAAAACTCTCTAAACAAAACAAAACATTAGTTTAGTCCTGTCAAACAATGTTTTGTATTCTGAAAAGGACTAAACAAATTTTTAGTGATTTTTAGTTTAGTGAGTATATTACAAAACACACTGCTTCATCATCAACAGCCTGTAATAGTCCACTGCTGGACATAGACCTCTATAGAAAGGAGGTTTTGGTATACCATGCTGGCCAGACGGGTTGGTACAGGGTTTGTGTCAAGTTTTCCTTCTCTTTGCTGTGCTGTTGTCCTGAATGCAAACTGCTTACACTACTCACCTTATATTGCGTTATGTTTAGATGCAATTGCAGAGTTTGGTTTAAAGGTAGACACTGTTTTTTTTTTGTTTTGCAATAATTTTCATCCAGTCAAAATTGACCTTGATCAAAATTCAAATGTAAACTTATACTTAGCAAAGAATATTATTGAGTTTAATTTAGCCTAACACTGTTCATGTAAATACTGTAATACATGTTAATACTGTTGTGTACTTATATAGCAACATAATATGTATAATAATCAACATATCATGATTCTTTGGACATCAACAGAGTTAACACTTCATAACTATTAACATTTTTTTTTTGACTCAAACCAAAACCTAAGCTATGACGACACAATGTTTGATTATCGTACAGGCGTAATTAATAATTTTGGAATACTGACAATGTTTAGAGACATTTTTGATATGATTAATAATATTAATACCTATCTTCAATATTCTTACATACCTTTGACTGACAAACAATCTCCTGACGGAAAATCTAATGACACTAGTGATGTAAATATGCTTTACAATCAGAAAACAGCTTCGAATAACTGTCTTTTTCGAAACTAGACACATATACGTAATGCATCAAAATATAGCTGGTTTAATAAACAAGTCCGACAACTTGACAGTATGTATAAATGAATTAACAGACAAAGGAATTGATGTTGATATAATATGCATCACTGAACACTTTATGTCAGAAGGCTGCGAATCCCTGTTAAATATACCTAACTATGTCTTAGCTTCACATTACAGCAGAAAAAATACTAAAAGAGGTGGATCATGCATTCTTGTCAGAAAAGGATATGAATGGAAGGAACTAGAGAGGATATCAAGAATGTCAATACCGGAAACTTTTGAGTGCAGTGCCGTAGAAATTGTTAAATCTAATGTTGCTATTATTTGTATCTATAGAGTACCAAATATGAGAAATTTGAACGATTTTTTCAGTAGGTTACATAGTGTTTTACAAGTAGCCACAAAAAGACGATATAAAAATATTGTTTTGGCTGGCGATTTCAATATTAATGTTTTAAAATCGAATTACCAGTCACTTGAATTTGAACGTATTTTGCTCAACTTTAACCTTAAACTTGCGATATACCAACCGACTCGTATTAGGAGCCATACATGTATTGACAACTTTGCGCATAATTTTAATAAGCCTTGCAAAACGGAGATTATAGAGTTTGCTCTTTCTGACCATACAGCGCAGCTAATAAAATGCCCGACTGATAAAGTATGCAAAATTGATAAATATTATAGGTTTAGACGCAATTATTGTCAACAAAACTTATTAAAATTTAAAAGCTGTCTAAATGCTATAAAATTTTCTGAAATTTATAATACCCTCAATCCAAATATGGCTTACAACAGTTTCATAGAGGACTTTCAACTGTTTTATAATTTATGTTTCCCAAAAGTTAGAGTTAAGGTAAATATAATTAAAAAGACAAAATGGGTATCAAGTGGTATAAAAAAATGTAACAAAAAGAAAAGGCAGTTACTATGGCTACAAAGATTAAAGCCAAACCCAGAAAATAAATCCCGCTTCAAATCATATTCAAAATTATTAAAAAGAATTATGTTTCTAACTCAACGAGCACAAAATGATTACAAAATTAATAATTCTAGGAATAAAAATAAAACGACATGGCAAATTATTAATCAGGCGAAATTAAATTTACCAAAATCTTTGATAAATAGATTAAAAATAAATGACACTATTATTACGAATCCAATACAAATATCGAATGAATTTAATAACTATTTTATCGATAAAATACAGCCTAAAACAACGTCTCTAAAAACCACCCCACCCATTTTAAGTACAAGCAAGTCTATGTTCATGTCCCCATGTGTACCGCAAGACATATTAAGTATAATTCATAAGCTTAAAAACACGAACAGCGTTGGATATGATGGAATAACTACTAAGGTCATTAAAGTTGTAGCACATGAAATAAGCGGTCATCTGTGTCACATTATGAACCTATGTATAACCTCGGGTATTTTTCCTGATGCCCTTAAACAGTCAATTGTAAAACCAGTGTTTAAGAAACAGGATAGGGAGCTTATGGAGTATTATAGGCCTATTTCTTTAATTCCCATATTCTCCAAAATATTTGAGAAATTCATACATACGCAACTGTACCTATATCTGGAAAAAAATAATCTATTGTGCAATGAACAAAATGGATTTCGTAAAAACAAAACCTTGAATTTGGCAATTTTCAACTTTCTTCATGAAGTTATGATGAAAGTAGACAAACGAACACCTGTATGCTCAATATTTTGTGATATGACACAGGCATTTGATTATGTAAAACATGATATATTAATTAGAAAACTAGATGCCTATGGAGTGAGAGGTAATGTCCTAAAGTTATTCGAATCGTATTTGGAGAACAGAAAACAACGTACAGAAATAGCAATAATAAACCCCACTACTAAACGAGAGGAGCTATATCTTTCAGATGAGCGGAAAGTTTTGTACGGTGTCCCTCAGGGGAGCGTAATGGGACCTTTGCTTTTTATATTATATATTAATGACCTTCCAAAATGTACAAAAAATACTGTAACGCTTTTCGCAGATGATAGCACAATTACTATATCTTGTAATAATGATATAACTCAATATAAATATGACATTACGAATTCCTTGACATCCATAATAAACTGGCTTGACATTAACAATTTAAAAATCAATTTAAATAAAACTAAGATTATACATTTCAGTCAACGGATCGCTCCAATCAGTTATATATACCAAAATATAAACATTGACAATCATAGTATAGAAAATGTTACGACTTCGAAGTTCCTCGGGTTAACGATAGATAAAAAACTAGATTGGAAATCACATATAGAGACGCTTAGCAAAAAATTATGTAGTTCTGCATACGCTTTGCATACGTTAACGTCAATCGTCAATACAGAAACAGTGATGACCGCATACTACGGTTTAGTTGCCTCAAATTTACGCTACGGCATCATTTTCTGGGGTAACTCTACAGATACATTAATTGCTTTTAAGTGTCAAAAGAGATGCATACGGTCAATGTTTAAACTAAAAACAAGTGATAGCTGTAAAACTTACTTTCAGAGGTATAAAGTATTGACGTTGCCAAGCATTTATATTTTGGAAATGTCAATGTTTGTTAAAACAAATCCAGGCTTATTTCCGCGGCTTGAGGATACGGTTACACGGAACAGGCGTGATAATAGTAGACTGCGCCTACTCCAAGCAAAAACTGTGCTTATGCGTAGAAGTGTTTTCTGTATGGCTCCAGTAATTTATAACCATTTACCGCAACAATGGAAAAACTTGAGCATAAGTGCATTCAAGAGCAAGTTAAAAGAATTTTTAGAAATGAAAGCATACTATTCTGTAACTGAGTTTTTAACGGAGAAAATATAATAAAATGCATGTTTTTAATAACTACACCATACCCTCTATTAATACACTTTTTTAATAAATGTGATACATTGTTTATTATGATTATGACATTTTTCATTTTTTTAATAATATAATTGTAATTGTTATTTTAATTGATATGGACATAAAATAGAATTCTGACCTCGTATGATGTATTAAATAAGCCCAACTCGTTATTAATGTAATCTTATTGCATGCCTAAAGGTAGAATGTGGCAGAAAAAAATATTATAACTGTAACACCTAATTGTAAACCCATGTTCGCAATGAAAATAAACTGATTGATTGATTGATTGATTGAACTAGCTTATGTGCCAATAAAAAAATAATTACTTGCCTAAAAACACTGAGACTCCAATACTACCCTGACCCAAGAATTAAACCCAGGAGTCTATTAGTGAGCAATGTGAGAATTTGTGTTTTCTTGTAATAGCTCTGTCCAAAAATATTTAGTTAATTTAACAAA